CAGAAAGAAAATGCCCGACGCGGAGTTTCCCAACAATGCTATGAATCTCAAAGAGTTCTCCCCAGAAAACGCCAAACGGAGAAAAAGTGAAGCGGGCGCGTCTCTCAACTTCTCCGAGCTCCCTTTCCATTTCATACAAAGCCTTTGCCTCCTCCCCCACCTCTCTCATCCGCTCTATTCCTCTTAAAGATGTAATCACCAGACAGACAGATCCCCCCAAACGCATTAATTACCTGCCCACACGGAACGTCTCCAGCCTCTTACACGAAGGCATCTCAAACTCGTCCGCCCTGCGCATCTTATCCGGGTCCTGGAAGAACCACCCGCTCGCCGCATCGTACATCCTCTGCCTCGCCATCATCTCATTCTCGCACTCGAACCGCAGCGTCCTGACCAGGTTGTTCTCCGCCGTCTGGTCCAGCTGGCTGAGCTTCCCCTTGGAAAACGACTCAACCTCCTTGGGGTTAACAAAATACTTGACGTTAAGCTTGGGCGTCGTCCGCCCCAGCGTGTAGGCGCCCTTGGGGTTGTCGTAGACGATGCTCGGCGTCGCGGGGCCGCCACCGCTAAAGAGGCTGGAGATGAGCGGGAAGACAAAGAGAAGCAGGATCGGGAGCAGGCCCATGAGCGTCGAGAGCCCGCCTCCTTCTTGCTCCGTCGCCTCGCGCGGTCTCCTCCGCGGCCGCGCTCCGCCGAACTGGTGTACCCTGAAACCCGGACCGCCGCCAAAGTTGAACACGAACTGAGGTCCCGTATCGAAACCTGCGCGCCATCATTAGCTTCATCGCCCAGTCTCTCGAAATGGTTTCATTCTTACCTCCGCCTCCGAAAGGTCCACCACCAAACCCACCACCGCCAAAGAAGCGCTGGAACATCTCCTCAGGCGTCATCTCCTCCATCCCACCACCACCGCCGCCACCACCACCCCCTCCCCCTCCGCCGCCTTGCCGCCTACCAAATCCACTAAACGGGTTCTGCGCCTGTGCCTGCCCAAATCTCGAATCGGGGTCCGTACCGAACCGGTCAAACTTTTCGCGCTTCTCCTTGTCACCCAGCACGCTAAACGCGCGGCTGACCATCTTGAAGGCCTCGTCGGCGTGCTCGTGGCCGTTCTTGTCCGGGTGGGTCAGGAGCGACTGCTTGCGGTACGCCTTCTTGATCTCGCTCTCCGTCACCGTCGTCTTCACCTCCTCGAGGCCGAGGATGTCGTAAAAGGCCGTCGGCGAGCATTTCCGGATCCGCAGGACGGCGGCTTTTTGGTCGACCGTGTAGGCGCGGGCCTGGTTACCCTGGTTGTGCTCGCGGTTGCGGGCGCCGCCGCCTGAGTCGGCGCCCGAGGCTGTTGCGCTCGGCATGGTTTGGTGTGTATGTGTGTTTGTGTTTTCTTTTTTTTTTTGGTGTGGTGATGTGGTTGCCGGGGCAAGATCGAGGAATCGTCTATCGGATGGTCGGAATCAAGTTAATGATTGCGATTGACGGTATTGCGTATAAAAGCACACAGAGTGTGTGCGGGTTGGATCGAGACTCCTTGCGGCCGTGGGTGCGCGCAGTCGTTGGAGGATGCGATGTTGCGTTGGTGGGTTTTGCCAATCTGGCAAGATAGGCGATGCAAGGCTAAGAGCCCACGTTACTGATGCGATGCTCCCCCGCACCAGGTGCAGCAAATAGCTCGCTGACTCGGGGCTCTGTCGTCAATGAGCCCGGAAAGCGGCGAACAATCTTGTGTGTTCGCCGGAGGGAATCGTGTGACTATCTTGCGAAAGCGAAAGAAATGTAGGCAAAGTCGCGAGAGTTCCAGCCAACATGGGGGGAACAAGACACTGTACCAAGTTCCAATCCACTCGATGGAGGTCGAAATTGAGAGACTCGCCCGACGCCCCGGAACCACGGACCAGCTGATTGGGTATGCGGCTCGGCTGACTCATCCGAGCAGGGTCTCTTCTTATCGATAACATATGTCACTAATACGGGAATGAGCTAAGGTACCTACCTACCTCGAGGTAAGGTCCCTGCTGCGACTCCAAAAAATCAGTGACGATATCCTTTCCTCGCTCCAACAGCGAAATCAACCCAGTCTTGCGGTCGCCAAAATCCCAAATCCTCCAGCGACAATGGCAGCCGACAACGGCCTCTCAGACACGGAAGACGTCAAGTCATCAATCTTTAGCAAAATCCACGACTATGGCAGTACGCACCACCTCCCCTCTATTCCAACTGCCCCAAAACCAATTCCATTCATCTTGCCCCCCACTAACACTCTCCAGCAAACCCCCTCCCGCCCGCAATCCACGCGATCCTAATCGGCGCCCTCCACGGCCGGCCCCTCAAGATCCTCCCGGCCTCCTTCGCGCCCGCCCTCCTCTTCAGCAGCTACGTCAATCTCGCCGGCTTCCCCACAGACAGCGCGGGCTTCACCTGCGCCCTCTCGGGCCTCTACGCCCTCCTCGCCCTGCGCCGCCGCCAACCTCTGCGAAGCAAGTTCACCGCCCGCGGCCTCGTCCGCGGCACCGCCATCGGTATGGGCTTTGCCAACTCTGCTGCCGGCGCGTGGGTGTACGCCAATGGCGATCGGAAGAAGGATGAGGTGGAGAGGAAAGAGAGGAATCGCTGGGGCGGGGAGTCATGAGATAGGGAGAGAAGGGCGGAGAAGACAAAAGTTTTGAGAGATGCCAGGCGGAGAGAAAAGACTCGAGGGGGGCCATGTTCAGGGAAACATGAGGCATGATGTTCTTCCATCTGGTCTCTGCCGTGGGAGTGCTGCCACTCCCCTGAGAGGTGGTGCGCGGTCTTGGCTCGGCTCGGGTTGTCTGAAGAAACTCAAGATGCCAAGCCAACGTAGACATTAATAGTATCGACTGTAAGGAATATTGTACGATTATAGGGGAAGTCTGTTAGGATAATGATATACGTCGAGTCATGAGACGAAACGTCGTTACGCGAAACAGTAGCGTCTGGGGATGGATCGACATACACACATACCATGATCTCGATAAGCGCTTGGGGGAATCAATGCTTGCACACGAAAATAGCAAGCGTGGAGATGGAGAAACGGGCACTTTAAGGGTAGACCAAATTTTTGGAATAGTATGTACACGAATCTCGACAATGTAGAAATCAGCTACGTTGACTTGAGTCGATTGCGTTTGCAGAAAGGTCATAACCTCCCCAAATAGTCAACTGTCCAAACTACCCTAACAAGATAGTAATACTCTACAACAAAAAAGCAAAGGAAAAAGCCTGTACTTGATGAAATGCCATTGTCGATGACTTCCCAAGTCTCGAGTTAACGCCAAAAGGAGACATCTCAGCTCTTGATGAGTCCCCAGTATTCTGTCTATCCATACAAAGAAAAATTGAAGGAAGCCGGTCCAACCCAGGCAGTCTATGCTGCATCTTTGAGGGCGGTAGTCCCAATGTACCAAACTTTTTGTGTCCTTATTCTTCTGCTCCCTCTCATGTACTTCGACTCATCTCGTCGATCTTCCTCTCACCGGTGCCGTGACAGCCTTCTCCCCTGTCTTTCATCATCGCTGTGTAGTCTTCTTCTGTCTTTGTGTATGGTATCGTCGCTGGGTAACAGTCTCCAGTCTACTTCTAGAGTGCTGTACCATGTTGCGCTGCGCTCCACCAAGTTCAGACTTCGGCCAAGATCCGCCCAATGCCAAGCATCGTGCAGAAATGCCAGAGTCTGTAACACCCGCGACAGGGACGATTACTTCACTTCTTTGACGCGTCTGGCTGTCGTCTGCATTCTATGCCCCGAGATGAACCAGACGAAGACGACAAAGACAGTGAATAGGGTCACTCTCATAAAGTGTCGAATGCGAAACCGCATGTTCGCTTCGTGGACAAACAGGTTGGAAAGATCCGAGAGATCAAAGTCGGTGAGATACTTAACGTCGCAGTCTCTGATCTTGGGCTCAGCGTATGCCCGGTACTCATCAACAATAGTGTTGAGCTCCCAGCCCGTCACCTTGCGAACCACGCCAACGACACAGCCAGTGCGATGCTATAGTCATGTTAGTGGGCGAACGATACCAAGACTGTCTGGTGTTGTAGACATACCTTGCCATGGTTGCAGTGAATGAGGAGGGGGTGGTGCTCTCGGTTCAGAACAAGCCGCAAGATTGACTTCATTGTGCGAATGGGAATGGCCTCCTTCTTGGTACCCTTCATGTTAAAGACATGGTGACGAATACCGTTGCTTGACATGAAAGCAGTGTAAGGCTCATCGACGTCGTCTTTTTGGACAAGGGTACTAAGAGCTATGTTAGAAACGGCCGCTGGCGAGAATCGGAACCTGTAGTGACTTACACAATTGATTTGAGACCAAGATTGCGGATGAAGCCAAAGTCTTCAGGCTTGGGATAGCTGCTTCGATAGACTCCGGGGACAACAACGCCAAAGTTAATTGGTCGTCCATCAATTGGCAAGACTCGCTCAATATCAGGCGACATAGTAGGGCCCAGAGGCGATTTCGCCTGGTCGTTGACTTTGAGGAGTCCATCCTCACGCCTGGCCAATGTCTTCTCTCCAATAATGGCGGCCGTTTGGGAATCGTCTTCGATCGCTTTCATGATCTGCTTCTGTAAAGAACCTTCTAGTGTAGAGTCGGAGCCAGCTACGGACTCGCGCGATCCTTGCCGCGAAGGGCCCTTGATTTGGTACTTGTCGGCCATCTCAACAGGGACGGGATCGTCTTGCTTGGAGTTGCGTCTCGCGGGGTGGTAGGTAGGATGCTCTGCGGGATGACCGCCTTCGTCTTCGAGGAACTGTCTCGCACTTCGTTTGGAGACCACGGCACCAGCCATGGTATGGGGTAATGGTGTAAGTCGTGGGTGGAGTGATCGTGGAGTGAGCTTGATCGCGTGACTGTTCACGGGTGTTGCAGTACTTGTGTCTTCTGGGGTTCGTGGGTAGTAAAGTTCAGGGTTTCGGAGAAAGGTTAGGAAAGGGTAAGTGGTCGTGTGAGCGAAGCGGTACGTGTTGTCGGTTGGTATTTATTTTTTGAGGAGTGTTGAAAAGCGTGCAATGATGTTTTTCCTCCCGTGGGACAAGAGGCAATGTTGAAAGATGTCCCTTTGCGTGTCTCTAAAGAGCACAGGCAGAAACCTGACGGGCGGCAAGTTGGAAATTGAGGTCCATCTTGTCGTGAATCGGGGGTAAGGTGGTCTTGTTGGTGTTGTCGCAGGCGTAGGCGACGGTTCGTTCTCGCAAGATCTCGGTGACGAATTTGGAAATCCCAGTTGTGCAGGCGAGAGAGACAAATGAAGAGTGTTTGGGGGGTTGTTTAGATAGTTGATTGGTATTGGTTGTAGAAGTGAGGCAGAGGTAGAAAGAGGAAAAGGACCCTGGGTGCGCGCGGGAGGAGCGGGTTAGTAAATGAGCATCGTAATGTGTGGGATGGGTTGAATGAATGGTCAGCGGTGTGGTGCGTGAGGTGGGTGGGACGTGGGTGCGGTGGAGGAGCGGGTTAGTAAATGAGCATCGTAATGTGTGGGATGGGTTGAATGAATGGTCAGCGGTGTGGTGCGTGAGGTGGGTGGGACGTGGGTGCGGTGGAGGAGGCTGAAGTACACCCATGCATTGGCTTTGGTGATAAGGTACCTCTGAGCCTGCCTGCCCTGACTGACCGCGCAAGGAACCCAAAGGTGAATGACGGGGAAGGCCTGCTGCTACGTACCTTTTTCTTCTCTGCTGGCGTACGAATAGCTTGGCTTTTGGTCGAAATGCTTGGCCAAGACGAGACGAAGTGAAGTGAGTAGAAAGATCTGCCTTGGGGGTTGTCTCAGGTTCAAGGCCCAAGTATTGGTTTAAATTTTAGGAAGGGGGAGAGGGGAAGGCAGAGGCAGAGGCAGACGGAGAGAGGAAGAAAAAGATTGATTTTGATGGGTGACGGCCAGAGACCTGAACGGACTTAGAAGGCGGAGGTCGGAGACAGTCTCGATAATGGAGAACCAGGAAGGCACGAAGGGGAGACGAAAAAAAAAGGAGGAGGGGTGGGGTGGTGGCATCACAAAATTTGGGGAAGGGACGTATGTACTCCGTACCTGTCGTACCTTACTTCCACCGGCACAGAGGTACATGAATACTTCTGGAGGTTCACTCTCAGACTGGACTCTCTGAAGTTTTTGCTGGAGACAGTGAGGGACAAGAAAATTCAAAGGGAAAATGCAATGCTTCCAAGGTGACGAGTGTGTACTCCGTAGTGGGCTGGACCCGGCCAATGCAGACCTCAGGCCAGCGAGAGGCTAGGAAGGGCGAGGACTCGGCTGACCATGTATCTCTCCCCCAAAGTCCACGCTGGAGATACAAGAGATGGGAGTGTGGGGGACGCAGCAAGGGTACGCTCACTAAACCACAAACAAACAAGGTGCGACTCTGGGCCACTCTGCCACTGGAGTTTGAGCCGAGCTGACTTTGTAAGCTTTGGAGCCGCAGACCCGTAAGAGCCAAGCTGGAGAGAAGCAGAGAGACCGTTGTTTGGGGGACTGGGTACGTCTTCTGACACGGAGAAGGGGAGGTACGGATACTTGTGGCGATACGTACCTTCACTCCTCTTTCCCGTGGAACCTACCTAAGGTCAACCCTCAGGCATGATATTCTTAGCACCTTTTTGATGCGAAATGCGGGATACGTACCTCAATACTCCGTAGGTATTCAACCCAGCAACCTAACTCCCATTAATCTGCACGACCGTCTCTTCCTTGGAGTTTGGTATAACAATCACAAATCCACAACATCATCATAACTCGCATCAACCTGGCAAGATGGACACTCGCTGGCCGCGCAACGAAACATCAACATCCTCCAGCCCCATAGCAAGCCTGTAAAGGTATGCCACGATGGCTGGGTAGGCTGTCTCGGGCTTTCAACAGCAAAGTCCCAAAAGGGGCGACAACAAACTTGTGACAACTGTGGCAGACCGCCAAGCGATCAGGGACCAGCCAACAGAAAGGGAAAGGAAAGCGCAGAGACCAGCAAAACAGCAAAACAGCGAGCGGTCCGTACGGAGCACGCATAGCGAGAAGAAAGAAAACCCTCCGATGATCTGAGCGCTGACGCAGCAGCCACAGATGATCGGCAACTCTCAGCCACGGGGCGCACCAGGACAACGAGGCAAAAGGGAAGACGGCGGGCACCGGTCGATGCGTCTTCTTGTGGCAGCACCAGTGCACCACTTTGACAGACAGACTCGACAGACACCGATCAGTTACAGAGATTCAGCGCCAACCCGCGGTTGGACCTCTCTACCAATTTCAACCCAAAACTTGATATGATCGGTGATCTCCTCTTCCCGTCTTCCGCGAGTGGCGGATTGCCTTCAAACCCGACCGATAAAGCGATGCGCGTCCGTCCATGCTATTAACGGTTGTACCTCGCACTGGCACGACTGGTACGGAGTACAGTTGCTATTGCTCGCAACGCGAATGCTGGGATCAACAGGACACCAACCATCAACTTTTCCCCAGACTTTGCCAGTCTCGATTAGAGTCGCATCTTGGGGGAACATTTGCTCGAAACCTTACTGGTCCCCTTCATGACAGTCCGCCGGTCGAGCTGCATTTAAACCGTGTGTTATGGACTACAACCACTGGACCAGTGAGAGGGGAGACTCAAGCAGGGATTCTCCAAATAACTTTCTCTCGCAATACGCCCATCCATGGACGATCAGCGATCAACAAAAGTAGGTAGTGCTCGACTTATGCTGAATGGGTGGTGTCCAGCAGTGGTTGGCCTTCCGAGACAGGCGCCCTGCATCGTCTGCATCGCCCCGGCTCGAGGCCACTGTTCCTCTTGCGTCCTGTCGTGCCATGTCATGGCCAGTAGGGGAACTCACGCGGACGGCGGACGCGGGGGTCTTCGGACGGCGTCACCCAGCCACATACGAACAGCCTCGTCTTGCGTCGATCGAGCGCCCACGACATACGGAAGCTCGATGACTGATCTTCGCAACTGTCAACGTGACTCTATTCTGTTGGAGTCATCCCGCAACCGCCGGAAAGAAGCGCCAAAGTTCGCTACACAGACGGCTACGGAGACTCTGACTGAACTCCTGGACAAACCAGCATTCCAGTCTCACCCCCGCCTCGAATCTCGCTGACCTCACTTCATTCCACACAACTTATTGTATTCGACAGTACGGTGAACCAACTTACCAAAGACGCATACATATTATCTCACAGGGAATAGCTGATGAAGACATGGGGTTCTTCTGGTTGCTTCATCCCCATTCCAGGCTGTCGCATTCTGTCACTCGCTTCGCAGTGACAATCCATTCAGTACGTCATATGCCCCCTTGGTACGGACGCCGCCCAAAACAGTCGACTCCCGCACAGGTTCGACCGAGCGTGGCATGCGACTTACATTGGTGCCAACATCTGTGGCTTCAGCAGAGGCTGGCAGGCTGTGTAAGCCGTACGGAATCCCACGCAAGGGTTCTATACTGTGTGTACCGACTTCCTGGTAACTATAGCAAGGTAAGCGACGTAAGGTACCTCGGTGTACCTATCTACTTGCTGACATGACGCAAAAGAGAGAAGGGGAAAAGCAAACACTACCTGTCTCCAACCCTCGAACCAGCCAATTCCGTCTCAGCCAGGCTGCCAAAGTGACGGCATTACCTCACTCTTCATCACAACTCGAAGCATTGGGGCCTTGAGTCGCCTTTATCACGGTACTGGTGACGCTAGCTGGTGCCATACCCAGCCCAAAATCAAGGAAAGCCTTACCTTGCGGCCCACGATGATTATCTGATTATCCCCATTACCCGGTAGCCACCCGGAAATACCGGCACGTCTGGAGTTGCCCTACGAGCATCGCACAAAAAAGTACCCATTAGCGATCACAAAGCTTACTGCAAATGCGTACTACTTAGTGCTTCTGGTAACCTTCTGACGGACCACGGTTGTGAGAGGGCGAGTATCCGTACTCATACTGGAGTACAACTTTATTACGCAGCATGGAGAGAGATAGCACTCCTCGAATTCTGCTGAGTGGAGACTAAGCTGTTATTACTCACCGAACAATGATTTTGGCTAGGGTCCTGGTACCCGTATCTCGTAGGCCGGCCACATTCGCCTTTTTCGGCACCGAGCGGCAGATGCCTGTCAGATTTTCTCGATGAGGCTGACCGGGATGATTCCCCGTTACCATCTCGGTGTTAAGTTTGGTAACCTCGCGAACGAGCGGGTTACTTACGTCCGTCCCACCGGCGGGCGGAGACTCGCCTGGATTTATCATCACTTGTTATCTTCCAAGACTCTTTCGCGTCAACTTCAGGTACTTTGGATTTGCTCCTGTCATCAGGGATCCGGGCCTCACAATTTCGGGTCACTATCCCAAAGACCCAAAAAGAGTGAGATGCCGAACAAGATCCTGGGCATCTTGTCGTGCTTGTTTCCCACGACCGACCGTAAACTAGTGGAACCAATTCTCTACGATGAAAACTTGACAGATGATGCTATGAGGGTAAACCCCGCGATCCACGAATACAAAGCAGCGTTATGAAATCACAGCATCGAAGGCATGCAGACGAGCCCAGGCCATGCGATGAACGACGCCATGGCGGCGCCTCTGGCGTGTGCTAGCACTCCCCCATCTGGCCATCAAGCACCACGATCTAGCTCGGAACAGCATCGTAGCATACGCGTAGCAAGGTTAGCAATAACTCTCTATACTTCTAGCGTACACCGGGCCCGTAGCGTCGGTCTACCTCGGAGGATTCCATGGCAGGCCCAGCCATACAACGGGCAGTTGATTCGATATTTCGTCCGGCTCACTCAGCCGCGACCTTCTACGGAGTACTTGTATTTCCTAACGGTGCCCCGGCTCGACCGAAAGCAAACAGAGCCCGTCGTACCACTAATACGCAGACTAGCGGGTGCCAAACGCACAGCTGGACCACACCATTAAGTAGGTACTCGCACACTCACATCGAGGCTAACAAATTTGATTTCTCAGAGAGGAGACGATGGATCAGAGGACCCGAGAGCGAGGGCGAGCCGGGGAAAAGAGAGAGGAAAATCGCGTGGAACGGCGGTAGTATGCATGATCGGTAATTCTCATTTTTTCCCAAAGCCCTCCACTCCGCCCCCGGTCCCGCCAGACTTCGCTAGACTTGGACCACTGGGGCCGCCGTAACACCGTTCGACATCGTCGATATACCATTGTCTAACTATTCAACGACACAGCTGCCTACCCGTAAACCCCAAAAACCAAAGGGCGCAAAGACGTCAAGTCCATGAACCTCTCTCTACTCTCTTCTCCGTTGGTGTATCCAAGTGGTCACCCAGGCAATGAATCTCCTGTGTGCCCCTTATGCAGCCTTATACCCAAATTCCGATAAACGCCGCTGAACAATGCCAATCAAAGCTTCGTGTTACTCATCTCATGTGTTTCTTTTGGTGTCTTGTTGTCTCTTTCTCCACAACACCCGACGGAGGCCAACGGGATATACGGATGCTCTCTAGCAAGCAGCATTCCACATCTCATGCGCGAGTATCGCTCCAATGACCGACGCGCCGTGCAATCCGGACGTCGGCGTCCGATCACCCCATATTTGGAGCGCAAAGTGACATGCCACCGCCAGCTCTCCTATCCCGAGCGACGTGTTGATAATGGACGCCAAGCTGGGCGTGTTCTCGTTGCGCATGTCCCTGATTGCGTCGCTGGTGAGGTGAATGGCAATAGCCATGCTCAGGAGCATGGCGCCAAACATTACGTCCCGGCTATACGGGTATGACGCAGATGTCGCATGGAGCCACGCGCCGAGGAGGATCGCCAAGGTGAAAACGTCCAGTAAGCGATTGTTACGCAGACCAGCCGTTCGTGCCGAAGGTCCGGGGTTCGCAAGCTCAGCGTACTTATTTCCTGTTTCCGTCTTCGTTGCCGCCGACGTCTCTCCCTCTTCTTCATCGTCGTCTAGGCTCAGCGTGAAACTCGAATTGAGCAGATCGGCCAAGGAGCTGCGTGGATCACTGGGGTTCGACATTGCCGAGGGCGCGAAGAACGTGGGTTGCGCAAATGCCACCTTGCCCGTGTCGCTGCTCGCGTCCTCGCCCCGCGATTTGGACGCATCCGTCCTGCCGGTTGTGAAGATTGATTTTTTCTCCACCGGTTTCGTCAACACCTTGGGACCGTTGCGAAGCTTTTGCGCCGGTGTTATCGGCGCGGGAGGAACCTTGTACCAGAACGGGCTCGAGTTGGGGCCTGAATCAGGTTGCCCAAACACCTGGTTCGGTGCCTTTGGGGGTCCAAAGTCGTTGAAGGCCCGGTGTTTGGATTGTGTCGGAGACCAATCCATTTCCTCCGAATACTGGGGCTGAGGCAGCTTTTGCGGAGTGTTGATGCCAATATTCCGGTTGCTCGATCTGTGCTGCAATTCCCGCTGGAAGAGTGCTGGTGATGCTGAGCCAACGCTCGTTGGACTTGGAGGAATCCCTGGCCTCGGGCTGGACTCGGCTAGAATGTCGTCCAGAAGATTCGCCATGTTCTTGTTGTCGTCCTCTCGAGCTTGCGCCGTTTGCGGTCTTGGTGATGACGCAGCTGGTGTTCCGGTGTTCTGGAATAGCGGTGTCATGTCGACACGTACGGATCGTTGGGCAAGTATGTATATCTGCAGCATCGAGTCAGCAGCGCCTTCGGGAGATCGTAATTCGTGTCACTCACAGCTAGCATCAACACAGCCATCAGTCCATGGAGGCTCATCTGGGCACTTCCTTCGGCTGATCGCCCGCCTTTCATTTCGGTCATTCTCATGGCAAGAAATCGAGTGAAGATGATGAGCCCCTGAAAGGTGTACCAGTGTGACAAGCCCAGGATATGACGAGAGAAGCCACGGAAGACCTGAACGAATTTCGGGTTCCACCAGATGCTCACAGCATTGGTCCATAGACTCCAGTGTATCAGTCTCTCAGGCCGAGGAAGAAGCAGTGTAAGAGCAAGTGAAAGTCTCTGTACCATTGTGCTTTCGGCATCCGCGTCTGGGTCTCGCATTGGCCCTTCATCATATTGCGTCGCAAAGACAGCAGCCAAGGATGCGACATGCCACAGGTATTGGCAAGAAATACCACCAAACCAGAGCCACTTTCCCACCTTAGCCGCAATATCTAGCGAGGTTAATTGTTTTGGAGCGACCCTGACTTTCCTGCTCCTATCCATCATGCGTCGTAGATGGTCGGTCCGCGCCGTGTAGCCGGCCTGATCCAGCTGAGCTTGAACTTTGGGCTCGCACTGGGCGCATATCTGAGGGTATCGCTGTTCGAGTCGTCGACGGAACTTGTACATATTTCTCTCGAGCTCGGCATAGTCGGGGTGGTCTGGGTCTTCAGGCAGGTATTGTGCCAGGGAGCTGGTGAACAGATGCTGGTTCTTGAGACATGTCGGGCAGAAAATGCTCTGTGATGGAGTACTGAAGTCGGGGGACTGAGATCGCGGTATCGCGTACGTCGTCGCAGCAGGCGCTGAGGTGGTCTTGGCTACTGGAGGATC